AAATGGTCAACTTCCCATTGGTCACTTGTTTCGCTACTATCGTCCGGTGGATTCGAGAATTCCTGTAGCAATAATGCTTTGATTGATTTCGCTTTGGTTTGCATCTATCCCTGCAAGTTCACTCATTGATAGAAACACTTCATAATGACTAATTAGCAATTAGCAATGCTACTGATGAACAGTTAATTTGCCTCATAAATCTTATCAGAATGCCACACCTAATCCGTTCATACCTCACATTAATTAACGCTAATCAACCATATCATAGCTAATGGAATGTCATGCTGACAAATTTCCAGAAATGCAACTTTTTTTGTAATTTGACGATACAAACATGCCTAAAGAGACGTGGTTCATTTAAAAATTTTATAACGAATATGAGTTGGAATTTTTCGATTTCAATTTGTGCAATTCTCAGAGAGCATACAATTTGCGGTGTATTGTAGCATCCACTAAAGAAGACTTCAAATGTTGAGATTATCACACCTCTTATCGTTCAACATGCCAAAACAACAATGGAATGTTGCCATACACTATGATATATTTAACCTATTTACCTTTACAGATGGAGAAAATTTTGTCTAAAATGGATTATTATAAATTAATTTAAAACAAACTTCCAATGAATCTCACATAGCAATCAAAGAATCATTTTCACAGTTGTTGAAAGAGCTAAAATGAGATGACTGAATTTGAGAGAAGGAAGAATAATGAAGGGAACACATTGGCCTAATATAGAATGGGAACTGCAAATAGCGGGAATTGAATTTCATCCAAATGCCCCTTCTCAATTTATTCGTCACAATTCAATTTCTTCCAAATAGCTATTTTTCATTTATTTTAGCTTCAGTCATATCCGTCTTTCTGCTACTTTTATTTCCTCTTCTTTGTTTCTCTGTTTCACTCTCACCAAAATTGTTACGAACGACAAACACCAATTTATCACTCATTTACATATTATGGTGACATGGAAGGTGATAAGTGATTACGAATGGAATGAGCGATTATTTCTAGCATTTCTGTTGCTGGCCAGTATTAGAAAAGGTGAAATTGTTTGAAGTTTTCATATTTCAAAGGGGTCAGCAACAGAGAATGATCGCCGAATTATCATTTCCTTCTGATCGTGGAGTGTGATATATTTATTTAGAAGCACAAAAAGACAATGCAAACATTCGTGCAATGATTTTGTTCTTTTTTACTCAAAAATGAAAAATACTTGCGTGAGAAGTGACGGAAGCGTGACTGGAAGAAAGCGCTAACACAAACATTTTGAAGTTATTAACGTTAAAGAGGAATTCATATGATGCAATTGAAAAGAAGTAATATGGATACATCATTTGAAGATGAGATAGACAGATCGTTGATGTCAAGGGTTAAAAATGTTGAGAGTGGAGTGTAATTCAATGACATTTTGTATTTCAGTTCAAGAAATGATATTTGGCACTTCTCTTCTCTGTTTGATAGCTTAAATGATATGATTGATTGATGTCGATTGATAAGTAGTCATTATCAATTAATTGAAGATTCAAAGCAACTGGTAACGAATTCGGGAAATAGAAGACACTTTCATTTGCCATATTCTTTTCAAACATTCTGAACAGGTTCTCTGTGTTTCCGTAAACTGAAATCATATAAAGATATGTGTATCCGGCTATTACATTCAGACCCTTCTATATCCAACTGTCAACATCCTCTTTCTCAAGAATTTTGCAGTAAGTTTTACAAGTAATTCCAATAAATTTGATAAATAAGATTTCACAGAAATTATTTATAATAATTACATTAAATTCCAATTACAGAATTACGAGAGAGGATATATATTAACCTAAATTCTAAGCTAAAGTAATGAATGACATGAAGTTCTCTTTTCTTTTTTGGTAATGAATAATTCTTGCTGTTTTGATCGCTTAAAAACTGATATCGCAATAATTATTGAAGAAGACTATTTTTTAAAGATTGTTAAGGACATTAATGATGAAATGATTGGAGATTTGGTTTGAAAACTTTAACTTTGTTCAGATAAATCGATCTTAGTATTCTTCGTTGGATGACAATATCTTTTCCTGATCAGGCTTTATTACCTTCCTTCCTCTAGATGACTAATGGCCTTCTATTTCAAAAAATGATAAACTCAAAAGAGCCATTCTACAGAATAAAAATGAAGAGAAAAAAGTTTAATTACAGTACCACCGAATTAGTTCTTGCGAAAATCATTGGCGACATCGCTCTTTCCTTTCTGAGTGATATTATTATAATCAAATTGCTACTGAGTGCGCAACTGTTCACACTTTATCGGCTAATAAATATTATCGCACGACAATGTTTCACTCATTACTCATATGGCAAGTGATTGGATTCGATATTAAATATTAAAGGATTTCCAAAAAATTACAATTTTGATAGAGTTGAAGTGCAAAGATGGAGGAAAATCTAACTTTTCATTAGCATTGATTCCTCGAAGCCGTAATGTATCAGAAAGTGGAAACGTGAATTGGGAAGGAATGATAGAGAGAGAAACTTTTCTCGGCCTTGTTCTAACAGTTAATACTGATGACAGAGTGTAGTGAGTCAATACCCGACAGAAACAATTTCAGGATTCTATGTCTCTCATCCATTAGTATAACAATAGCGAATAAGCCAGCGAAAATTGTTCGAAAATTTCTCCGAAAAGGTTGGATTGTATTTTCCTCATATCATTATATCATCATTATATCTAAAGTACTGTGTACAATGCATGAATATATTGTTATTACCGAATGCTCCTCCATTCCGGAATCAATCACAGACAGTGGGAATACATCGATCCCCACTATCCGTGATTACAATTCTTCGTTTCAGATTTGAAGTTTTCCATATTAACTTTCAAAACTATAATTACGAGAGATATCTCGCAGTTATATGAGAAGACATCAACAGAGGATTAGTGGAAAGTAAAAACAAATAAAATCAATGCTTGAATACAGGTGATCCGGAACCTTCAAAGGATGGTATTATTCGGATTTATGCAAAGCGGTTTTGTCCATACTGTGACAGAGTTATCATCGCTGCGTATAAGAAAGGAATTCAGTTAGTCTTTTGAAATAAATTTATTAATATAATTCGTGAACTGTAATTTACAATTCTTCGTTTCAGATTTGAAGTTTTCCATATTGATTTTCAAAACAAGCCCGAATGGTTCATTTTGAAGAATCCGGAAGAAAGTGTACCACTTCTAGACCATAACGGCAAAGTTTGTTCATTCACTTCATTTCTAGAGATTTATTGAACTTCTTCGAGTTGATTAAGTGGAACTTGTAAATGTCCGAGGGAAGTGATCAGTTCTTATGAAAATTACAAATATAAGTTGCAGCTGGTGATTGACTCCCGAGTGATTATTGAATATTTGGATGAAACGTTTCCGGAAACAAGTATTTTGTCCAAAGACTCGTATCTGAGAGCAAAGCAACGATATTATGCACTGAAACTAGAACCGGTACACTCTCTCACTTCTAAAATTCTATTTATCCATATTCATCATAATAACTATTTATTACAGATCTGTGAAACAATAAAACAAATGACATACTCGACAAAACTAACCGGTAATATTACCGTCCTTGCATTGGAACTTGCCACGGCTGAGCAATTGTTACAATCTCCTTTCTATTCAGGTTTCCTTATTTCTTTCCTTTTATTTCATTTATTATAAATTACTTTCCGTCCATTTTTTGCATTTTTCTTCATACTTTCTATTTAAAATTTAGTTCCAATCTCTTTCTTACCTTTGTTTTAAATTTATTTTTATAAATGCAGGTGAGGTACCCAGTTTACCGGACATCATCTTATTCCCGTTTATTCACCGATTGCATATCATTCGACAATTTATCAGAGACAACTTCCTCGATCACTACTTCCCGAATAACTATCCAAAACTTGTAAAATGGTTCATCGCAATGCGTAATATGCCAGAGGTGACTACTAATTATTAGCTATAGAGACAGTAAAAATGATTCATTGCTGTTCCTTAATAAAGATTCCTCCTATACACTTTAATTTGTTATCATCACAATATTTTTGAACATTTTAAAAGTCCCAATATCGAACTTGGCAATGGTATAATTACCTTTTGTTGCAGATTCGAGCAGTTCAAGAACCAGAACACCACTTAAGGGCTTACCTCATCAGCAAAACTACTGATTTCAACACCAAGGTCGGATCTGACCTCAATAGCCTAACACCAGTTAGCTGGAAACTTCTCAACGACTCAGTCGTTCAGTATCGACTAAACAATGCACAAAATTGAGAGAAAGATGGAGCTCCACTCTCATCCTCGTTTCAACGAATCTTAATTTTTAATAAACAGAAAGAGTATCATTCAGAATGAGAAAACGAAATATTCCTTTCGCAATATTCCTTTTTAATGTGCCAAATATTTTTGCATCCATCGAACGCACATTTAAACTATAAATTAAATAATTAAAAGCATGGCATCCATGTTGCTATCAAAACCTTCAACGTAGACCAAACCAGCAGTTTAAATCGAATCCGATGATTGTGTCTATTGTGTCTAAGACATTTTAAAAGTTTTACCCGCAAAGAAGCACGCTCAACATAGGGATTTCATTTTTAATAAGCATTGGAATTGATGAACCGACAAATATGAAAGTTCAAATTAAAAAATCAGAAAATATATTCCATTCTTTGCCTTCTCAAGCATTATGACATAATTCGAAAGATTGAGAAGTTTCGTTTTAAGCTGTTCCCTCGAAACCACAAAAATAAGTAATCAATACCTTCTAAATTTTTATTTTTCTAACGTCTCTTTCTAAATTTCTAACGAAGTCGAAGAAATTGAAAAAAAAAAAAACTTCCCTCACTTTCAAACACACTTAACCTTCTCATTCCGAAAAAAGATATCTTTCAACTTGGCAACAAATAAACAAATCTGTT